ATATCTGATGGAGAATTAGTATTCAAAATACATAAGGAACTCAAACAACTCTATAGAAAGACAAACAATCTGATTAAGAAATACGTAAAGCACCTATGAATAGATATTGTAAGAATAATCAAACTAACCAAAGAAATCTACACATTCACTGCAATTCTTATCAAAATCCCAATGTCATTTTTCATTGATAAAGAAAAACACAATCCTAAAAATGTATATGTAATCACAAAAAACTCTGACTGGCCAAGGCAATCATTAGCAAAAAGAACAATGCTAAAGGCATCACACTACCTGATTTCAGTCTATATTGTGCTACGAAACAGTAGTAATTAAAGCAACATAGTACAGGCATAAAAGTAGACACATTGACCAATGGAATAGAAAAGAGAGGACAGAAATGAAACCACACAGCTGTGGTCAATTGATTTTTGACAAAGGTGTTAAGAATATACAATGAGAAAAGAGCACAGTCTTCAATAAACGGTGTTGGGAAAACTGGATATTCAAATGCAATAGAAAGAAACTGGACCTTATCTTACACTATTTACAAAAATGAACTCAAATGGATCAAAGAAACATAAAACCTGAAAGTGTGAAAGTACTAGAAGAAAACAGAGGAAGAGCTACATGACATTGGCCTGGATGATAACTTTTTAGATTTCACCTCAAAAGCACAGGCAAAAAGGCAAAAGTAAACAAATGGGATTATAGTCCAATAAAAAGCTTCTTTAAAACAAGGGAATTAGCAGAGTGAAGACACACTCTATGGATTAGGAGAAGATATTTGCAAGCCATATATCTGGTAGAGAACTAATACCCAAGCTATACAAGGAAGTCAGCTCTATAGAAAGAAAACAATCTGATTAAGAAATAAGTAAAGGACCTTCGTAGATATTTCTTAAAAGAAGATATGCAAATGGGTAATAGATACATAAAAAATGCTCAGTATCCCTAACCATTAGGGAGATGCAAATTAAAACCACAGTGAGATATTACCTTACACCTATTAGAAGGACTATCATCAAAAGGAAGAAAGACTAGCATTGGCAAGGATTGGAGAAAAGGGAACTTTTGCACTGTTGGTGGAAATGTAAGTTAGTGTAGCCATTATAGAAAACTCTGTGGAGATTCCTCAAAAAACTAAAAATAGACTTGCCATATGATCTAGCAATCCTACATTTGGGTAATTACCCAAAGATTTTAAATTAGTATGTTGAAGAGATATCTGTACACCATTGTACCACTATTCATAATAATTAAGCTATAGGATTAACCTAAGTGCCCATCAACAGATGAATGGATTTTTTAAAATAATGGAATTTATGTACAACAAAATAGTATTCAGCCTGAAAAGAGAAGAAAGTTTCACATTTGGTTGAGCATGGTGGCTCACGCCTGTAATCTCAGCTCTTTGGGAGGCTGAGGCAGCTGGATCACAAGGTTGGGAGTTCAAGACCAGCCTGACCAACATGGGGAAACCCTGTCTATATAAAAAATGCAAAAATTAGTCAGGCATGTCAACATGGAAGGAATTGGAGAACATACGCTAATTGATACACCAAGCATAGACGGATACCACATGTTCTCACTGATATGTGGAATATAAAACAGTTGAAGTTGTAGAAGCAGAGAATAGAATGGTGGTTACCAGAGGCTGGTGGGTAGAGGGGATGGGGAAATGATAAGCAAAGAGTACAAAGCCTAAGATAGGAGGAATAAGTCTGATTCTTTTTGAGATCTGTTGTATAGCGTAGTGAATATAGATAATACTTGAGTACTGTAGATTATATCATTAAGAGAGTATATCTCCAGTGTTCTCATCACAAAAATGTCAAATATTTGAGGTGATGGATAGCTTTATTGCTTCACTTATGCTTCTTCCAATATTTTTAAAAACATCACTTTGCATCATGACTATGCTTTGTCAAAATAAGATAAACTTAAAAAATATAGTGAGGAATAAGCGATGAATGAAAAATAAAATGGCAAGACAAATACACAGTCTATTCTGCTAGTTTTATATAGTGGCTAAATGTGGCCCATGAATTTGTCTGTGGCACCAGCAGAAAGTAAAAAAAGGATGAACTACAAAATTCATAATCACCAAAATATGGCATCAAGCCAGTTTTCGGAAAGGTCACAGCTGAATTTTGAGAGAAACATTTTATGTGTCTCTGCATTCTCAGAAGTGTGCTATATTAGTCTGTTCCCATGCTGCTAATAAAGACATACCTGAGACTGGGTAACTTATAAAGGAAAGAGAAGTTTAATGGACTCATAGTTCCACATGGCTGAGGAGGCCTCACAATCAATGGTGAAAAGTGAAGGAGGAGCAAAGGCACATCTTACATGGCAGCAAGCAAGAGAGCAAGTGCAGGGGGACTATCCTCCATAAAACCATCAGATCTCGTGAGACTTATTCACTATCACGAGAACAGCATGGGAAAAAGCCACCCCCATTATTTAATTACCTCCCGCCTGGTTCTTCCATACCACATGGAGATTATGGGAACTACAAGATGAGATTTGGGTTGTGGGACACAGCCAAACCACATTATATGCTATTGTAATTTTCATTTCATTCATTCACTTTTTATTTACTTAGACAATAATTATTTCTTGAGCACATTCTGATTGTTAGGATTGTGCTGTTTGCTTGAGGATAGCATAAAACAAAATCCATGTCTTACAGATAAGCAGGGTCTAGGGTAAAAGAATAATGTCTGTATCTTTGGCTTTAGTCACTTTATGTTTGAGTGGGGAGTAAGAGAATATAATAACAGGCAGGAATGGACTTGGATTGAGGTTGCAGAAGATGAGGCCTGAAGGAGGATTTGAAACAAAAATGAAGCACTCATGTGAGCTGATAGTACCTGGTCACAGAAAAACCATTGATTCCTTTGACTTGACTACATCTATTTCTAACTACAATTTGTCATCAAAGGATACCTCTAGATGACCTGGACTCTGAGTTTGGGAGGTTCCTTGGATTCTTAGGGGATCGTGTGGCTTTAGTGATAAAGGGAAGGAGGGTGGTAAGAGGATGCAACATCAGTTGGTTTCGGAAAGGTTCTGAAGTGTGTGTGTGTGTGTGTGTGTGTGTGTGTGTGTGTGTGTGTACACTTATATCTATCTCATCACTAACAGAGTGATGTATGCCTGGCTGCCTGTCCAAAGATGACCCTTTCTCCTCTGTAAATAACCCCTAAAAGCTGAACATAGACTTTTAAAATTGCTTTTTCTCCTTTCTCCATCCAGAATTTATCTAATTTATCTTGGTCTTTTGGGGCTGCTATAACAAAATATCATAAACTGGGTAGCTTATACACAACAGAAATTTATTTCTCACACTTTTTGAGGCTGGGAAGTCCAAGATCAAAATGCTGGGGGATTTGGCATCTGGTGAGGACCCATTTCCTTTTTCATCTGTCATGCCATCTTGCTGCATCCTTACATGATAGAAAGGGCAAGGGAGCACCTTAGGGCCTCTTTTTTTTTCTTTTACAGATAAATTCTCACTATGATGCCCACACTGGGGTGTAGTGGCTATTCATAGGTACAGTCATAGTGCACTGCAGCCTCAAAACCTTGGGATCAAGCGATCCTCCTACCCCAGTCTCCTTACCAGCTGGGACTATAGGTGCCACCATACCCATTTCTGGGACTCTTTTAGGGCCACCAGTCTCATTCACGAGGGCAGAACTCTGCCTTCATGACCTAGTCACTTCCCAAAAGGCCCCATCTCCTAATATCCTCACCTTGGAGGTTAAGATTTCAACATATGGGTTTTGGGTGTACACAAATATTGAGACTGTAGCAGAGGGAAAGCAGGCGGAATAATTTGTCATAGTAGTCACAGCTCCTGCCCACTTATCATGGCTCTGTCTTCTGCTACCTTTAGCCATAAGCCCTAGAGAGAGGGATGGTTCAAATTATAATACTTGGGTCTAATGATATGTCTGTGAGAGACTTTGACCACTTGGACATTCAGCCTGTGTTTCTAAGTAAAAATCATATCAAGAGTTATGTTTGTTTTCAGAGTTTAAAAATAAACAATGTCAGTCAAATAACACATTGTAAACCAAGAATAAAATTTTAAACCCCCCAACCATCTGAATGGAACCCTCCTCTCAGCCAGGGGCATTCCAAAGTTAACCTGACAAACTTGTTCAGGCTGTAATGAGAAGTGGGAGCCGGACATGCCTCATTTTTTCCCTGTTCCCTTTTGTAATTGCTGATGGAACAGACTCTAAGTCTAATAAGAAACATTTGCAATTTATTCTCTCTCAAGGCCGCTACTGGAGGCTTCGTCTGCATGATAAAGCCTTGGTCTCTACAACCTCTTATAGTAACTCAGACATTCCTTGCTATTGATAATAACTCTTTCAACCAATTGCCAATGAGAAAATCTTTGAATCTGCCTGTAACCTGGAGGTCCCACCTTTCTGGTCTGAACCAGTGTACATTTTACATGTATTGATTGATGTCTTATGTCTCCTTAAAATGTATAAAACCAAGTTATGGCTCAACCACCCTGGGCACATGGTCTCAAGATCTCCTGAGGGTTCTGTGATGGGCCATGGTCACTCATATTTGGCTCAGAATAAATCTCTTCAAATATCTGACAGAGTTTTTCTTTTTGTTGACAGCATGATCCTGGCCTATGTGTTTCATTTTTAATTTGAAACGGTAGATGTTATAGTGATCTTTTCTGGGCTGCTTTTGAGTAGGAAGACAAAGAAGAGCAAACTCATTTGGAAGCCTGGATACTACCCTTGAATTATTTAACAGGGTCCATCATATGGAGTGGGGTTTGAAGGCTGTGTTGAGAAAGAAGCATAAAGGTCTTGGGCGTGCTCACTAGAGAACAGCTTTCCCTTCTCTGGCAGTGATACTCTCCCCACCCATTTTTCATGGCGTGTTGAGAAGTTGTCACGTCTCGAGCTTCCTGAGAGAAAGCAGCACCACTCACTTCTCTCTGTCTTCGTTTCCTCTTTCAGTCCCAGCAGAAGTGCATCGTGATCTTTGCCCTGGTGTGCTGCTTTGCCGTTCTAGTTGCACTGATCTTTTCAGCTGTGGACATCATGGGAGAGGATGAGGATGGACTCTCAGAAAAAAATTGCCAAAATAAATGTCGGTAAGAGGTAACAAACGAAAATTCTCTTTTAGGGGGTGGGCGAGAAATCCAAAGAGGGCCTTGCACAATGGAGAAGAAAATACGTAAGCACACATAAGTCATCCAGGCTCCCCTTGGCTTAAGCTGAGGCGTGAGTCTGTCCACTGGTGCTCTTACCTTTAGCCCAAGTGCTGAGTAATGATTGCATTCACTTTACAATCTGGTCATGTTCTCTACAGGCTGGTGGAAAACAAAATGAAATTTTCTTGTTTGTCAGTGGTCACAGCTGCATTCTGGAGACCACCCTAGATGAGGTTTTGGGTGTTCCGTGATGAGCCTGGCAAAAATGAGTGCCCCAAAGGACGGAGAACGCTGTGCCAGTTGTTACATCAAATGCAAGTTAAAAAATGCACATCTCAGGGAAAATTCCAACTTAAAGTTAGGGGTTAAAGAAGTACATATGTCAGTGAGACAGGGCTCATCGACCTGTCCCAATTTAGTACATGGTTTGTTTTTAATCTGGAAACTATGATAGCTTGACTGTTTTATGTACGCATTCTGCCTCTTCAGTTACTTTAGCATTTCCTGGGGCCACTGTTGACCAGCAAAGACATCACAGCATAGTCTCAACCCCATGCATCTCCTCATCAAACTCTTCTCTGAGCTGCTACCATTTTTTTTCAGTTTCGGGGAGGGTAAAGAAAAGTACCAAAGGCAGGCAGATAGATAAGAGGTCTATTTTTATATATGTATTGCTGCAAAGCTGAAGTGAGGCCACTAAATTACCATGGTCATTATGAATTAGAGCTTGTAATCAATTTAAATTGTTATTTTTCCCTGTGGAAAGCATTAACCTAAGACCCCCCACTTTCCTAGCTTAAAATCAACAACAACCTGGCAATGTGTATGTGACTTTTATCCTGGATATTTTGCTTTGAGGTTGACTGTTCCGGCACGGGAAATGTTCTGAAAAGACAACTGGCTTTTTTTTTTTTTTTTTTTTTTAACCCATGATATCTTAGAGTCTAGTTACCAGGCAACAGGCATTATATACAGAGCAGACAATACAAGAAAGAAATCAATACACATTTTAGATTTTCTTCCTTCACGTTAGAAAGGTATTCCACAACATTATGTAACCAATTCTTAAATTGGCTGGTTTTACCCATCCTGTCCTTAGGGCAGCCTCAGCCATTGGTCCAGGCCCTGCTAAGTCTGCAGGGGAGAGTGGGTCCCAGAGTTGTTCAGTTTCAGATTCCTCCGGGCAGTCATGGAGGTAAAAGAGGTGAGGCTTTCGGAGATTCACCATTGAATATACTGGTGCTGACACAGACCGGTGGGAAAATCCACTGGTCTGCAGAGGTTCTCAGGCTTGCCAATCTCAGCTTAAACCTTTCTCTAAAAGATAACTCCTGTCCTTCCTCTCATGACCTCATCCCTTTCCTGGAGCTACCTGGACTCCTTTTCAGACTTTACCTAAAGGTGGAGCTAACTCGGTCCCATGATGCTTGGTTTCCAGTTACTTTGTACTGAAGTCCAGAGTTCTCTTTCTGCTTTTCTCCTTGTGTGTGACTATTATAAAGTGCTGCTTGCTCCGTTCAACCTCAGCTGAGATCTTACTACACTATCAATAAACTCCCTCTGTGTGGGTAATGCTCCTCACTCCTGGAGGTTGGAAGGAGATCGCCATTTATAGCTGTCAGCATCTCCTCACAGTTTTGACCGTCTCTCCCCAAGACCTCTTCATCTGCTGTACTCTTTCTTAAATATAGTACTTTAGCTCATCTTATTTCTGCTAATTAGCCTTTCTATCCTCTAATAAGATTCCCATTCTGATTCTTTCTCACTTGTTTTATTTCTCCCCCTCCTTTGTATTATTTTGCTGCTAGATTACTGTGCTAATAGTGGATAATTTTATCATAACTTCCCACACAAATCTACAAAATATCAAAGCCTCTAAACTTATTTTCCAAATGCCTTTTAATAAGCCTCAGTTGTAATGCCCCAAAAATAAGATCTTTGATCTCAGCAAATAACTGACCTATTTCTTTGTATCTTTGTACTGGATTTCTGGGCACTGCATACCTTTTCTCAATATGTTTAAAGTGATTGATTTGGTCTTTATAACTTTAAATCTTCATGACACTTGATTACCTGAGAGGGTGAAAGACACATTTTCTGGTTTCTGCTAGTAACCTACATGTCAGCAGGCTGAGGCATCACTGGTAGGTAAGGAAAACTCAAACTGCTAGTTTAGGTGGCACACATCCTGTGACTTGGCTCTTTCACAATTCGCTAGTGCCCTAATCATCATCATACTTCGTGCTTGTGAAAAGTAACCACACATTGTGAAGTTCCCCACACATCATGTCCTCAGGGACCAGCAGAGTCACTGGATCTGAGCTCCGAGTGCTGCTCAGTTGCAGAACACCTGCCCTCACGTGAACACCCACCCTTTCAGAGGAGAGGTCTTCATTTTGTATATATAGCTACTTCTATCTTCCCTTCTCCCCCCACAGAGGTATCCTACATCAGTCATTTTCAGTCACTACTCCCCCACTTAATAGAGACACTATTAGACACTAGAAGAGGGACTTTTGTTACCATTCGTCCGTGACAAATACACACAGAACCAGTCAGCATCCTTCTCCCTGACTTCAGACCCAATTCTCTTGATGATATGGGAATTAATTTCTGCAAAGTATCATTAAGCAAGCTGGGTACACACAGAGTCTTGGGTTGGCTAACGTTGCAACATTGATGAGGATGTGTCGCCTATTTTATCTAGGTGATTATGGCAGCCCCTGTTCCTGGACCTCCTCACACTCACCTCTCATCTTCCTAAATCAGCCCCCATGCCCGGGTGACTACTAGTCTACGTTGGCTCACTCTTGCCCACATATCTTCACATTCGATTTAGCTTGCTCACTTGGTCTGAAATATGAAGGAAATGGAAGAATTCAATCTATCTGTCTGTATCTCTATATCTTGGTTTCTATCTCTAACCTATCTGATCCCCATTATTCCCGAATCCAGGAATTTTCTTTCATCCTAAAATGAATAGATTTGGGTCTGTACAAAGGGGATCCCATGTAATATTATAGGCGGAGTCACCAACGTGTAAGTTTGCCATAGCAGTTCTCCAGTAAGGAGGGTCCTAGATCACCAAAGTTTGATCACAGAAAGTATAGCAAGGACCAGACTCACTTTGTAATACACCATCCCTTCACACAGAGACTTTTTATGCATCCTTTCTAAGTTTTCAGGTTTCTCTATTAAAAAGCTGACTTCTCTACTTTACATTTTTCGCATACTATGTTTGCTAAATCTGTTCCTCTGACCTAACATTTCTTTCTTAAAATAAAAACACTACAGATGTGTGTATTAATATCAGTAACTCAGCTGCAGCTTCAGTATAGTACACACATAATTTGGTTCATTGATAATACGACATTCCTAGAAGACAGTATAGAGAGACCACTTTATGTGTTGACAATCACCTCCTAGTATTTTGTCACTTTTCTGTTTAAATCCATGACCTTAGCGTGGTCTTAATAGACTCAACTTGCTCCAGTGGACTTTAATCATTGTTTGCCCCCTTTTTTTTTCTTTTTTTTTCGAGACAGAGTCTCACTCTGTCGCCAGGCTGGAGTGCAGTGGCACAATCTCAGCTCACTGCAACCTCCGCCTCCTGGGTTCAGGCAATTCTTCTGCCTCAGCCTCCTTAGTAGCTGGGACTACAGGCACGCACCACCACACCCAGCTAATTTTTGTATTTTTAGTAGAGACGGGGTTTCACCGTGTTGGCCAGGATGGTCTTGATCTCTTGACCTCGTGATCTGCCCACCTCGGCCTCCCAAAGTGCTGGGATTACAGGCGTGAGCCACCGCGCCCGGCTGTTTTCCCTTTTAATGCCCAAATTGTCACTACCTGGCCAGTGAGAGCCCCCTTTTGTACTTTTTGATGCTATTCCAGGTATCTCTTAGAGCAGCCTTGCTTTTTGGGAACAGCAAGCTTTTCTGGTGCTGTTTTAAATTCGCTTGCTTTGAGACGTGGTGTTGTCTACTTTCAGATGAGCTCTAGTTCCTTTTCATGAAGACTTCTATTAAAGACCAGCATCTACGTTCTATGGGGGTCCTTATATTGTCATCCAAGGGTATTGGTGATAGACACAATGATACCACGGGAAACGTTCTTAAACTGCAGTAATGAACAATTGTATAGTACTAAAGAACCGTTCAGCACTGACTGAACAGTACTTCTCCCTTCCTCCCTCCCTCCTTCCTCTCCTCTTCCTCTCCCTTCGTTTCTGCATATTCCACATGAGCACGTGGACTATAGAGCCAGGGTCCCTGGGGTTGAGTCTGGCTATCCCACCTAGGAGCTTTGCAATCTTGGCCAAGTTTCTTGATTTTACTGTGTCCCATTTTCTTTTCATCTGCATAATGCAGACAATTATTGTCTCCTGTAAAGACCAAATGTGTTAATGTAAGTACCTTTCATACAATATCATCTGTCATATAATAAATGTCCAATAAATATCCACTATCGTTCATTTTGTTAAGGGACAGAAGTTGATTGCAGGTGTTTGCAGTTTCCTTTAAGTTTCATCGTACTTTGCTCCAAAATCAGAAAGGACTTATTATAATTTTTCACCTTTTTCTTATACTATGAATTTTTCCCTTTATCTATGTTAACTTTCATCAGTTTTGCTTTGTATTGACAAACCCAACTACGTTTTCAAATTACAGCATTGCTCCCAAATTTGGAAGACCCCATTTGGTTCTGGCTCTTATTTGATATCTGAGCACTTTTCTGACTGCCTGAAAAAGAAAAAGAAATTAGTCTTATTCTTGCTACCCCAGAGAAACTCCAAAGAATGTAAAATCCTAGAGCCCCTGATACTACAAATGAATTTCCAATGCACTAAATGAAAAATAGCAATGAAAAGTAGAATAAAAACTAAAACTGTGTCTAGAGCCTTTTATTTTATATCCTCTTCCAGTGTCCCCATTTGAGCT